GCTGGGCTGGCAGGGCGGGCGGTGGGTGCCCGTGCCCTCCGCCTTTCTCGTTCCCTAGAGCAGCTGGAAACCATGCATGGGAAGCAGAGGGGCTGGTTGGGGTGGATTCTGTGCCCAGATAAAGTGCAAATGCAGAGACAGCACACGGGCAGCCCCTGCCCACGGCAACAGCGAAGAGCAAGAGCCGCAGCGGCAGCAGGACCGAATCCAGGAGCTGTCAGGGCTCTGGACTACGGTGGAATGAGTTTCTTCCTCTAAACAAACTTCATGCCCCGTGTGCATCCCTGATTTTTACCTTTGCATTAGCATTTCCCAACCACTCAGTGCTTTCCGGCTGGATGACATTTGGTGTTGCTGTTTATTGACCCTGGGGACCACAGCATTGATGTGACTGCTACCAAGTGACATTTACATGGACACCGACGTCATATGGATATCAATAACGGCAGCCCAGTTAATGACACAGCATTAACTATGTGAGGCAAGAAGGGCAGCTTCTGTTATTGATGATGATACTGTTTGGAAAAAAAAAAAAAATCTAGCCAGTCTTAAGTTCAGTTGACCAAATTTCTGGCAAACCTGTTGCTGGGCTGTGAGAGCTGGCCTCGCCGAGCAGCTGGGGCTGGGGGACCTGCGGGATGGCGATCCCGGCTGCAGTCACAGGGGAGCCAGCCCTGCCGCACTCGCTGCCTCCGCTTGTGCCGGATCCTCCCGCCCCGATGTTGACGGAATTGATTTTTGCTGTGCGTGAGCGGAGGACCGGGTTCGTTCTGGCATGCCGGAGCCATTTGCCACTGGTTCGTGGCGTTTGCTGGCTGACTCATCCCGTTCCACCCCGGGTCGGGCACAGCAGGGCTCTGCTGCGGTGGTGAGCCCTCAGCTCATCCCTGGCCTGGGTCACCGTTCCTCCCCGTGCCGTCCCTTGCTTGTCCTGTGCTCATCCTATCCCATAGACCATTTGCTTCACTATTATTATCGCCGTTATCATTATTATTATGATTATTTCTCCCTCTGTGCGAAGAGCGTTTTGGCGTTGTCCAAAAGCCCGTGAAGTCGGGGTCCTGTGCGGCCTGCTGTAGGTGACCCTGCTTCGGCAGGAGGGTTGGACTAGATGACCCACAGAGGTCCCTTCCAACCCCTACTATTCTGTGATTCTGTGATTCTGTGAAGTTCAGCCCGTAGCAGCAGCTCAGCAGCCAGTGGCCAGATCCCATCGGAGGATGAGGATGCCACGACGCATCGCCAGTGCTGGCTCATCAGGCGGCTGGGGTCGGGGTGTCGAGGGTGTTGCTGGTTAAACCACCCATGGGTGAGAGCCGGGCAGGGATGGGCAGGGCGGGAGTCAGAGCAGTGTTGTTAAAGCCCAGCATCCCTCCTCCGCTGTTAAATACTGCCTACCCGGCTGGGGGGAGAGCCCCAGCGCTTGTGTAATTCACGCTCCGAGTTTCTGCCTTGCTTGCCATCAAAGCAGTCGGTATTTTTCATGGTGGCTGGTT